TTGAGATTTCCTGTGTGCCCAGTGTAGTGTAAATAGTTACAATAACTCATCTGTTAAATATGGATATGTAATTAAATAATATAGTTTAATATATTTATTACGATTAATGATGTTTGTACTTCGTAGAAAAAATACTTGGTAAATTTTAAGAATCGTATCCACAAAAAATTGATAAACAAAACAAAATCAACCAATCAACTAAATTGGTTTATCAAAAGATTTTTTTCTCTTGACACTGCTATTACTGTATATGCCTCGACAATTTTTATTGTTTTAAAAATCTATTTTTTAGAATTTTAATTTTCATTTGCTGTCGCCACAAATTCACTAAAATAGGTTTAGACTAGAGCATCTGGTCTTATGCAATTTTTAAAAAAATTTATAATTATAGTTCATCGTCGTTATGTGTTTATTTAAATTTTCTTGTTCTATAGTTCGCCGATAATATTGCAAATAATCACATTTTAGTTGGTTCATATATTTTTATAGTGATGTAAATATAGAATTATCCTTGCAAATAAACATTCTAATAAATAAAGTTTTAAACATTTTTTTATCAGTTCGAGCAAAAAAATGTATAAACCCAGCTTCATATGTTTAGGTTTTATTAATATTTTATAAATAGCTTTTTAAATGAATAAAAATTGCCGAAGGAGTATACAGTGTGGGATTACCTACACTTGGTTCAACAAAACGTCGTCAAGTGTTACTGGTAAACATCTATAAAAAAGTGACACTTCTTGTTTTTTCCACTTTTTCATGTTTACTTCTAGCTTGCGATATTGGCAACGCCAACACGGGACTTGTTCCCGGCTTGGGGATACCTTTCTCCGGGCGACTGAACGTTTTCACACAAACACACGTTCATGTATCACACAGATATACACAATTCTTTATAGCTAGATTTTAATGTCTTCTTTTTTGTCAGCTATTTCTGCATGCATATAAGATATTTTATTTCTTCTTAATCATTTATTCGCCACTAGCAGTAGAGCCCGGCGTTGCCCGGGGATGTAACAGTTAAGAGATAGATCAAGTATCGACCATCATAAAGACTGAAAAATAAAATTGACAAAGATTATTGTTTAAGGTTGACGGACACGCATGTCTTAATTAGTTTTTTTTATTTTTTTATGAATTGGTCAGACCCAAGCGCAAACAAAAACATTGTTTTCAGTCGTTATGAGTCTACCGATTGAATAGAATGTTGTTATAAACAATTGTCTTGTAAATGGAATTTTTAAAGCATTCTGAATGTAAAAATAAAGAAAAGTGTGCAAGACAATAAGAAACACTACCTGCAAAAAAAAGTGAAAATTTGTTGAAATCGGTTGAAAAATGTACGAAATCCGATCCCATATATAAACGAACCCACACACACACAACCTATGTTTTATAATAAGTACAACTCGATATGAGTTGTCCCCCTTTTATTCCGCGAAAGCGATGCCTCTTAATCGTGTTTTCAAATTGATTTCGTGCAAAAACAATTGTTTTTCCAATTTTTGGCGCTGTCAGAACCACCGCAAGGTAATTTTACGTAGTCCTGTGAAGTTTTGTTGAAATCGGTTGAAAAATGTAGGAAATCCGATCCAATATATAAACGAACAGACACACACACACAACCTGGGTTTTATAATAAGTACGATTTACAAAACGCATGAAAATATCGCCATGTTGAAATTTATTCAGTTTCCTTTCACTTCTACCCGTCATTTGCATATGTAAAATTTGCTACTGCTTTTAGTCGAAATAGAAAGAACTCTGCAACAGCAATAATAGCAGAGTCAAGCGAAAAACCGTCCCTTTGATACACCGTTTTTATTTTCGGGTACGATAGTTAAACTTTGCCAAAACTTTAACAAGATCTCATAAACAGGATTCTATTTACTCGTTGATATACGCAGAGAGAGAGAGAGAGAGAGAGAGAGAGATTATATATGTTAGCTGAGAACTATTTTTGATTTGTTAATTTTCCGACATACAAAATACCTGTTGGCAGAAATACGTGGAACCGGAAAACGAATGAAATCATTTTGATATTGCCAAATTTACTGGTATTAAGTGAAGAATAAAATTCATTTTGGTGTTCTTAAAATAGTCCTTCAGACTGTTTTCACTATGGAGGTCGATCAACTGCAGTGGAAAATCCCCTTCTGTTTTTCTACTTGGTTGGATTACGCACAGGAACCTAGATCCCAACATCTGCTTACGCTGTGCCGATGATTGGGCATTGACATCGGCACAGTGTGTGACATGGTAATCCAGGTGCTTGCGGTAGTAAGCAATGCGTGATGCCGATTTTGAAGGAAATAAGTTTCATATATATATATATATATATATATATATATATATATATATATATTTTGTGTGTGTGTTTAATAAAAAAATTGATCCCAAAGAGCTTATAAATTGATTTGAACAAATAAAACCGCATCTCATCTGAAGATTCGTTGACAACCTAATTAGAACATTAAGTGATTTGTAACGGGGTTGATGTTGAGTTGTTAATGTAAGTTACCCCGTGTTACACGCATTTGTAGTTGAAAGAGGATTCCTTTTCTCTTTCTTTTATACTGAAAATGAAATGAATAAAACATGCAACAATAACATAGAACATAAACTTTGAGATACGTGTCGAAATTACTGATAAGAATATGTATTTTTTCTTTTTGTGATGTTATTTACAATATTGGTTTTGTGTGTGTTAAATGTTCTCAGAGTTATTTGTCTCTTTTTGTTTCTTTAAAATTTGGGCTTACTTGTTTATAATTGTTTTGAAAATTTCGTGATTATGGGAAGCCTTTGAAACCGTCAACTCTTGATTTTCACGGAGCGAAGAAGATATGTCTTGTTCTTTTTACTACTGCTACTTTTACTTGTGGTGGAAAGGTTGTGTTTTATAATGATGAAATTTCATATCTTTATTTCTAAAATGATAAAATATCATCATCATCATGAATCATAACAGACTTGTTTCCTCTTAGGCTGTTTGTCACTTTGCAAATTTCGTTAATATTCTATTTAGGTTGTCAACGATTCTTTTGGTAAGATTTTGGCTGAAAAGGTTACCTTAAAGGAGAATATGCTGTTTTGTTTATTTAAAACAATATATATTTTTATATATCAAGAACAATATTAGGGAAATATGTATGCCACAGCAGGAAAAAATTCTTGTAACGTGTTTCGTCTTTTAAGACTTCATTGTACTTAGTTTATTGTTTTATTAATATTGACTAACACTTGAAGGACTAATTTACTCGATCGTCTGTAATAATTGTCACAAAAACACACAGGAGAAAACTCAATAAATCTAAATAAAAGATATGAAGACAAAAGAGGCATTTTACAAAATCATACATCAAATGCGTTGTTTGCCCACTGTAGCGAGATTGACCACAATTTTGACATAAAAAATGCTACTCTGATCAAAGGAGAAAAGATTTCACTACGACGAAAATGTCTAGAGAGTACCTTGATCGCAAACTCATCTACAGTAAATTTGTGCCCGGGCTCTTACAACATTTCACCATTCCTGGCAGAAATTTTATTATCATAGTGTGGGATATCTAATTAACAAAAGTGGTGGAAATAAAAAGAAAGAAATTCAAATGAAATCGGGTAGATTTAAAAAAAAATAAATAAATGATAAAAATTTCATAGCATCCCTTGTTCGTGCGTATATGTAGTCGTACCAATATGACAAATTTAGTCCGATGAAATCCTACGGAGGAAACGCGTCTCACACACATACACACACACACATATATATATATATTTGTGAATAGTTTCTGAAAGTTTCATTAAAATCCGACAATTATTTTCATTTTTGCAAGATTTTCCAAATTAATGTCTATCATACAAAAAAAAAAAAAAAAAAAAAAAAGTGCTAAAAATTGTATATGTTATTTTACTAGTTCCGGTGATACAAAGAGAAACAAGTTTTTTTTTAACCAAAATTTAGAATCTTCGAAAAAGAAGGAAACATTTTTTAAAATAATTAAAAAATACTTTGATCTTTCCTCTCAATAATAGCATAAACATTTAGACGCTAAAATGGTTTTCGTCAAATTTAGCGTCTTTTTCATCATGCTCTGTTTTGAGCGATCTCATGAAAGATCATATATATATATATATATATATATATATATATATATATATATATATGGCTCCTGCCTTTCTTCTTTATTTCTGTTTTGAATAGATTACTACTTTGTGCAATATGTAATCAAAAAATATTTTAAATTTCTTTTTTAAATGGGCATTTAAAAATGATTTCTATTGTGCTCTTGCGGTCTGCATAAAATTATCAGGCGGGTCATATTCGACCCGCGCGCCGCTGTTTCCCCATCCCTAGTTTAAGTTTAATTTGAATCGAATACTTTCCTCCCAGAAAATAATTTGCGTTTTTGTCATCAGATATAATTTTTTTCTTTTCTTTTTAATTAAAACCAAAAAACAAAACCAAAAAAAAAAACAGCAAATTTTTCTTTTTACATTGTGAAAAAATAAATAATTTTTTTTTTTTTTCGTTTTCAAAGTCTTGTCTGTTGGGAAGCTTATGCAATGAATCTCCCAATGAGCTTTGTAGCTGGATGGTAGAACAGGGATTAGCAAGCTATAATTGGGGGCAAACACTGTTTCGTGTTACAAAAGAAAGGAAGTTGTGTAGAGCCATGACTACCATATCTTGAAGGAACATGGAACATTGCATTCGATAAATTATTGCTGTTGAATAAAAAACTTAAATAAATATAGGAGTGATTAATTGTTGACAGCTGACCGAATAGCACACACGAACGGTGAAAGTATGCTAATAGGCATTAAACGCATATTCTTTTGTGGCAGAAATGGATTCAAAAATAAGAGAGAGAGAGAGAGAGAGAGAGAGAGAGAGTACTGAGAAATAACCAGAGTGAGAGAGAGAGAGAGAGGGTGTATAATCAGTGAAAGGAATGAAAAATAGCTATGGAGGGAGAGGATAGCAAGAGAGAGGAAAGTTAAATAATCAGAGAGAGAGAGAGAGAGAGAGAGAGAGGAAAGAGCGAGAGGAAGAATAAATAATCAGAGAGAGAGAGAGAGAGAGAGAGAGAGAAGATAACAAGAGAGAGGAAGGAGAAATAACCCTGATGAATGAGAGAGGAACTAAAATAACCACAGAGAGAGAGAGAGAGAGAGAGAGAGAGAGAGAGAGGGAAAGAGCGAGAGGAAGAATAAATAATCAGAGAGAGAGAGAGAGAGGATAACAAGAGAGAGGGAGGAGAAATAACCCTGGAGAAAGAGAGAGGAACTAAAAATAACCACAGAGAGAGAGAGAGAGAGAGAGAGAGAGAGAGAATAAGAGACAGGAAGAGAAATAACCAATGGGAGATGGAAAGAGTGAGAGAAAAGGTGGGATAACCAAAGAGAGAGAGAGAGAGAGAGAGAGAGAGATAGCGCCAGGAATTAAAAATAGACAGACAGAGAGAGGCAGAGGGAGGGAGGATAACAAGAGAAAGGAAGAAGAAACAATCAGAGAGAGGGGTATAGATAATCAGTGAAGAATTAAAAACATCTATGTGGGTAGGCACAGAGAGAGAGAGGGGGGAGACAGAGTGGATAACAAAAAGGAAGAAGAAATAATCAGAGAGGGGAGATTGGAAGAAGAAATAAGCAATTAGGAAGGTAAAAAGAGAGTGAGAATGAGAGAGAAAGAAAGAGTGTGGAATAACTAGAGAGAGGAAGAAGAGATAACTGGAGAAAGAGAAAGAGTGGGAGAGAGAGGATAATCAATGAGAGGAATGATAAATAGCCAGGAGAGAGAGAGAGAGAGAGAGAGAGAGAGAGAGAGAGAGAGACTGTTGGTAATAATTTCAATGTAGACTGTTTAGAATTTCGTTTAGAAACCACGTAACGTTCATATCTCAAAAGTTGGCATTGAATGCGTTTTAGCATTCAGAATTTGAGGTAAGAATTTACACCAAACCAGGTTTTGCTTATGCAGCGCCTAAAACGACATATTGTAAACCAAGCAGTTCAATTGATGCTAATAAATATTTCTTTGGTTATACCATCATGAATGTAATACGATCACACTCTGTAAACCGTAGATATTCCGGTTAGTAGGACAACAACAACAACAACAATAATAATAATAATTATAATAATAATGTCCTGATGCTACACCAGCCATCTTTCTCATGGTTTCTGATCTTAATTGTCTGGGTGAATTAAGATGGTCTATAATAAATATCCTGTTCAATAACACAGATTTGCTTGTCAGTCGCCTGCCCTAAATCAGTTGGGCATGTCCCCCAGGGGCTGAGGTACAGTGCATCTCTGTTCATGAGCGGGAGTGGGAGGAGAGCTTTAATCCCGGGTGTCAAGAGATTTTTATCTTTATTTTAAAGAATGAGGCAGCCAAGGTGACTTGGGGGTCACGCCCAGATACTCGAGGACACACCTTCAATCTGAGCAGCTACTTGACCAGAAGGCATTTCTAGTTGGTTTGCCTTTTGCGTTATTTTTTAAAGAACCTGTCATCATATCGCGCTTTTTGTTCTGTGATGCCCGCTCCCTGTATATCCGTATCAAACTGGGTAACATGTTGGATTTATTGGATTTCGGATATTTGTACCCAGCCTCATCTTATTGATGTACCGCTCTCTCACACAATAACAATAATAAAACTGTTAAAATTTCGTTAGAAAGAAAGAGAAAAGTGCTGAACTGCTATGTAATAGAACCCCCCACTTCATGGAAATGAATGTAGGACAATTTCTTCACAGTTGACGAGGAGTCTTCAGGAAACAAATGTGATTCTATGGAAAGATGTTGAGAATACCATGCACAGAGCATGGACAAGGGAGTTTTAAGGAAAATGGGGAAAAAGGACACTTATAATAAGAATCAGGGAGCGACAGTCGAAATTTCTAGGACACATATTGAGGAAAGATGACTTGGAGAATTTGAAACTCACAGGACACACTAAAGGCAGACGCGGCAGAGGGAGACAACAAGGAACCTGCTTAAGAAACTTGTGTAAATAGATGGAAGAACCTTACTTAAAACTACAAAAAGGTATGAAGTAATAACTAATTAATAATCCCCGTCCTGAAGGGACACAGCTGTAACAATACGAATTCTCGCACATCCTTAGGCGATAAATTCCTTTTTCCTTTTAAGTCCACTTAATTATCTGAGTTTCTTGAATCAACTTAAGTGTCAGAGTTTTCAGGATTTCTATCTCCAGACACCTTTGAATTGGCAAACATAAAATTTTGTCAATGATTTTAGATAATCATAAAAGTAGTCCTTTAAAGAAGCTGACCACCCAAGAAACCGAATAGGTGGTCTCTTGTTCTGGAACTCAAAGGGACGGATAGGAGTGGTCGAACCCCAGCCAGTATCCATATAAGCAGAGAAAGGCAGGAAGTCAGTAAGTAGGTCGGTGATTAGCAGAAAGTGAGTAGCTGCCCAGCTGCGTGGGAAGAAGGGACCCATGAGCAGTTAGGGAGATAG